TGAAATGTACATGCTCGTTAATGTTTTCCGCAAATTATTTTTTTTATTAGCATTTTTTTATTGAGTTTAACTCTGACAGAGACTGTTTTATCTATTTTTCTATTAATAACACCAATAGTCCATTCCCGCATTCCAGGGTATTTTCAGAAAAACTTTAAAAGTCGACGGCACGTTTCAGTGTTAATTTTTTTATACAAGTCTAGCCATCAAAGGAAAAATCGACTATCTTCATTGACGATAAAGTACACAAAGGATTTTTATCAATTGTACGGCGCGGAATCAACGGTGACATCTATTATTTACGGAATGCTCAGCTATAAACAAAATTTATAAGTTTATAAAACTATTTACATTTTCTGGTACTCTATTCCATAAAAATATTTTCTTGTTTATGCAGATGTCCTAGATTTAAAATGACAACACTAAAATGAGAGACAGAGCGAACTTCGAAAACTTCGAAACTTCTCCATATTTACTATTCAAAATGAACTTATTTCTGCAACTGTAACAACATTGAAACCGCTACACATATTTGAATAAAATTTTGTAGGGGCTTCAGCCCAATAAAAAGCGTAATATAAATAATAAAAAATATATGCAATAGAGTAAAAGGCAAAGGATCAATGTATAAAATTCTGACATTACATTTGATGACACGGTTTGTGGTTTAAAAAAATGAACAGTAAATAAAAAATATTTGTACACCACGGTTTGTGAGGAATGAGATAACAATTTATTTATCAGTGAAATTTTTAGATACTTATTTCGATTTAACCAAATCTATCTTAGTCCAAAAATTGATATTGAAAAAGATACGGGATGTTAAAGTTAATTTATAGCTCTAACATAACGGTGTGGCGACTTTTGAAAATTTCGTACAGAATTAAAGAGTATGTGCATCAGGAAATTATTATACTGGGGACGTAAAATCCTAACCTTAGACAGGTTAAATTTTACTAATTCCTTATTTAGGACATATACATTACTTATACTTACATATATATTACTTTAGAAATTATTCACCATTCGTTTAAAAAATATTATTTTAACGCCTATCTTGAAACCAAACAAAGAGAAATAATAATGTCTAAAATTTCAGAAAAATGTCTATATTTATGAATGTCTCTGTTTCGAAATAATTTTTATAAACATTCGTCTTATTGTAATGATAATAGGCACTTTAGAGTTGCTATATGGTTTAATTTTGAAATACCCTGTATATTGCTTTATTCTTGGTTAAAAATCAAAATTTTTGCAAATAAAAATAAACTTTCTATGATTGTTAACAGAACTTATAACTGACAAGAAATTAGTTTTACATGCCTCAATAAGATTGCCTTCCACTCTGACAGAAAATAAATGGAACTCTCAGTGGGACTCTAACAAGTATAAAAATATCTCATGAGTAATTTTTCATTTAAAATTATAACTTTATTAAATTAATTAAGGAGATTGGTTGTAATTTCGCCACTGATTGTTTGGATTTGATATTACCTCATACTTACCCGGTAGGAAAGTACCGATGGTCTACATATCTGAAGTTACGTGAGAGCGATAAAGTAAGCCATAGAAATCCATGTGATAGACAAAGATGGGTATAGTGAAGGCGTCTAATAGTCACCGCCCATTTCGCCCTTCCACAAATAAGAAGTGGATCTTATGGTCGCTTGCAAAATTCAAGATAGCGGCCGACCAAATTTTCAAAAAATAACACATTCGCGCCAATTTTGGTATACGGGGGTTTTCGAGATCACTGATCACGAATCCGAGATCAGATTTACAAAATTCAACCCGTGAATAGATCTAATAATCTTTAACAGAAAAAAGAACAAGATATAGCCGAAAAAAAGTAGGTTAACACATGATTGGGTACTCAGGTTATAAAGTAAAATATTTCAAAACGAATTTCGCAATTCTGACCTCGAATACGTAACCAGTGACCCCGAAAACCCCCGTATACCAAATTTGTTGCTATTCTGTTATTATCTGAAAATTTGGTCGGCCATTTTGGATCCGCCATCTTGAATTTTGCAAAACTGACATCGGATCCGTAGTCAGCGACCCCGAAAACCCCCGTATACCAAATTTGCTGCGATTCTGTTATTTTTTGAAAATTTGGTTGGCCATCTTGGATACGCCATCTTGGATTTTGCAAAATTGACCTCGGATCCGTAATCAGCGACCCAGAAAACCCCAGTATATCAAATTTGGCGCAAATCTGTTATTGTTTGAAAATTCGTGATATCTGACCTTAATTGACCCGTTTTTTTGAGGTTAGAAAAAGAACCATCAATTCTGACACGGATTCACATTCGGCGGGGTCTTTTTTAAATTTTTAATTTTTCTAGACTTTTTCATGAAATTTTGCTATTTTTTACCTGTTTTTTGAGGTTAGGAAATTCCTGCGATGTGATAGCTCAATTCTGACATCGGATTCTTGATCAGGAGGCTAAAATACTACGGATAACATATGTCGCATGAAAAGTACAGACCTTTCTTTTTTTGTGTGGCTGTGTTATTTTATGTCATATTGCATATTCCGAGAAAGAATTAATTTATTTAATGATTTAAATTGGCGTTGTTTTTTTCTTGTACAAAGATCGTAAGTGCTAAAGCATGTGAGGATCTATAATGTTGTTATTTTTTTAGAGAAATTTTTACATACACGTAAAAACGTTGAAATAAGAGAAAAGAAAGAAAGAAATGTGACAAGAAGAAAACCTCCCCAGAGTATGAGCTGACTTCTAATTCTGAACATATAAAGTTGCGCCCGCACACTCAGCATTGTCAAATCGTCAGTTTTGTGCCAAAAATTGGTTTACTGTCCTCCCTCATCCTCCTTACTCACCAGACCTGACTCCTTGCGATTTTTTTCTTATTTCCGAAATTAAAATAAGTGCAGAAATACACCGCTTTCGAACTGTACTTTGAAGGAAACAAGGACCAATAATGTATAAAATCACTACATATTATAAAACAAAGTCCTCCGCCGCGTCTGTCTGTCTGTCTGTTCGCGATAAACTCAAAAACTACTGCACCGATTTTCATGCTGTTTTCACCAATGGATAGGGTGGTTCTCGAGGAAGGTTTTAGTATATAATTTGTTTAGTTTTTGTATACATTAAAGATATTTGTTGGAGGTGTCGGAAAAAAATAAGCCGTCTGGGAGCTTTCAACGAAAACGCTGCCCTTTGAGATATAACAAAATAATGTATGGTGGAATTGTGTATCTTATATAGGTCTACAGAAAAGTCCGCGATGGTATATGTCTATCTCTTAAGGATAAGATACTATATCAATTTTAATACTTTAAAAAATGGGCAATTATAAAGCGGTGATTGGAAAGCTATTTACACAAATACGATATTAATCCTTATCATTTTAAATACGGTAGTTGGCTTGAGCATTTCATGAAGATTTTTTTTACCCTTTACACCATGCAAATTAAGTGAATACCTTAGGAGATATAGCGAAATCAAAATAATGCGCAACGAAATTAATTTCGTGTCGCCGTGATTCGACCGGGCCGCGCGGGCGCCCCATGACTCCGCGCCTCGCGTCCAAACCGGAGGGGTCCGAAAGTTTATGTAGTGTATGGTAGAATTGTGTATCTTATATATACCTACAGAAAAGTCCGCGATGGCATATGTCTATATGTTAAAGATAACATACTACCTATATCCATTTTAATACTTTAAAGTATTAATTCTTATCACTTTAAATAAGTTAGAGGCTTTAAGCATTTCATGCACATTATTTTACTCATTCACACCATATAATTTAAATGAATATCTTAGGAGTAATCGCAAAAAAAATACGGACGCGAGAATAAAATTCAAGCGCCTCGCTTCGCTTGATGCGATCACCGACCCTCCCCCCGCACCGTCTTGCCTACTGTTTAGCTAATAAGCCGAACGATAACGCGCGCGTGATCCTTTAATAAACTGACTTGGAGCGAATGGAGGTGACGACTGACGACTGTGTTTTCTTTCTGGGTGTTGTTGGAAAGTTATAATTGCGTTCGATATTTTAAGGTCACATTTTTGTTTTGTATTTGTTGTCTTTAGGTAGTCGGAACATACACAGATACTTGCAAACATACTTTTATTTCATTGAGTTTTAATAATTTGTTTGTTTTTTTCTTATTGTGAATCATTTAAAACTTCATAGTCGCATTTTTGTTTCGTGTTTGTTTTCTTTAGGTAGTTAGATACCTAACTACTTACTTATTAATTAAAATTGATAGTCCTGAACATAAGTACTTTAATTTAATTCGTTTTGTTTTCACATTGTTGGTAGTTACCTATATTGTTTTAAATTTAAAGGTTTTGCATTTTTAGTTTTGAGTTCGTTTGTTGTTTTTAGATATATAGATATATCGTGAATTATTTTAAAATTAATATTATGGTCGCATTAGATGAAAGGTGATTGATTTTTTGTTTATTACGATTTAACTCAAAAACTACTCAACCAATTTTACCGAAAGCTACATCTCGTCGGAGTAACATAGGCTATTTTATATTTGCCCGTACGAAACCGGGGCGGGTTGCTAGTTAATAATAAAGTTTAAAATACAGTTTAGTTATTTGTTGAACAGACCTTGTATATTATTGTTCAATTTTGATGAAACACTTTCAGGTAGAGCTCCGTTTTGAAAGTTTGCTTTGAATATTTTCTAAACGTAATTTTCCACGCTTCAGTTGCATTACTTTGCAATAACTATATATTTATATGTATTATCATTACTGAAATACCTTTTCTGAGATCAGCTACAAGGAAATTGAAAAGCCCTTATTCATCTGGATTTCACCGTCCTATATGGTTCGCTACACACTCACCTCAGTGTAGCCACATAAGGCTTTGAGGGTATTGCTGAAATTAACAAACTTAAAGTAGGCCACGCAAGGATATTACTTTGTCGCTCCTAGTCCTATATGTGCTGGAGAGTGACTTATTAGTTTCCACCAAACGATCCCTCCCATCGCTACTATCAATTTTTCAATTAAAACTTGGTAAACAAAAGTGGCAACAAGGACGCTTAATCCCGTTTTAGAATTATGTTAGCGTTTTCGTAGTGTAGTAATAGTTAATTAATTGCTGCATCTCTCGTGAACAGGTGTAGCTCGCGATATAGACTTGATGCTGACTTTGTAACAAAGTAATTGTTATTCAGTGTTTGTTGTTTAAAGTGATCAATAATGGTTTATACTATATCGGATAAAGTGGACAAGGTCCTTGACCTGTAAGTATTATTGTTTTTTTTTTAAAGAAACGGATTATTGTGTTTGAATTAAATACATCTGATGTAATATTCTTTGATTTATTAAATAATATTAAATGTTTCAACATAATATTTATGTATGGAATATTTTTTGTTTCACAATATTTTAAACATGGGCACAAAACAAAAAAAATAAAATAGTTCGCATTACTCTTAGGCTAGTTGAAATTTGTCAAAATTCAATTTTTAGATATTTCAATATTAATAAGAAAATACTTAGTTTATGTGTTTAGTTTAAACAGAGTACCGTAAATATTCTTTTACTTAAAAATACTTATCTATCAAATATCATGAAAGTGTTTATGGAAAAGTTTGTTCATTTAGTGAATAATAACTGCAATTGTTCTCAATATAATTTTTTAACAAACATTTATATTAATAGGTTTATCAATATTTAAATAAAAATAGTGAAAATGACCAAATTATGTACAAGGATACTTTATATGGACCAGTATGTCCCTAATATGGCTATACTTAAAATTTCCTAAGAATTACAAAGCCGTCTTTACACTTTTAGATACCACTAAATATTTTGAATAGTATCTGAATGTCTTAAAATAAATTATGTGTTTCACATATAAACAAATATAGCCATATCTATGTCATAAGTAGCACAAAATGTACCAAGGTTGGGAATACATAACTTGTGCAAAAACCTAGACAGAAACTGCATCAAATTACAATGGTAATATGGATATAAACATTTTAGACAAGCAACTCAGTTTGAAAAAAAAGCTTTAACAAAAATTGTAAATGTCCCATTACAATCAAATATATAATAAGTGGATCAATAATGTAATTAAATTCTGGCAGTAAATAGTAAAATTTTTATTAGTATAAGAGTCAAAGTATACAAGATGTTAATTAAGTACTTGTACAAACTTTAAAGAATGAATCTTTGACTAATTTTAAGATAAAAAGTTCATATGAACATGGGTTCGTAATGGTTTGGTTCTTGAGATACAGAGCGTCCAAGAAATTTTATTTGGTATTTTGATTATATTTTTGTACATTAATATGGCAAGTTGACGAAATTCGGGAAACGATCATCATCAACCATCATTAGAAACTCAAATATTTACATGTTTTTTTTTTAATGTTAGAGGGCGCCGTATACAGTGTTGTACCGGGATTTAAATAATCATAACTTTTTTGTGTCGCACTGTATGTCATGTTTGACTAAACATACCTATAAACCTGCGTTGGAATTTTGTTGAAGTTGAATAATTTTTTTGAAAACAAGTGAAAAATGTGTCTTTTATTGATTGTATTGCGATGTGAAAAACTTAGATCATTTACAAGACTAAGACTAAACTACTTCTACAAATAAGTTACTAACAATTATTACGATAATTGCTGAAACAAACAAATAAATTTTTTGGGACATTCTGTATCTCAAGAACTAAGCCGATGCGGACCTCTGTTCATATGAACTTTTTATCTTAAAATTAGTCAAAGATTGTCCCTTCAAAGTTTTTACAAGTACTTAATAAACACCCTGTATAGAAGGATGTTCTTACACGCATATAAATATAACAAGGGGAAGTTGGCTCAATTAGGACAAGGTACGTTATTATATTTATTATACAGGGTGTTCCAAAAAGGTTGTGCCAAACTTCAGGATTTTAGAGGGGACATTGTGATGAAAAACTTTTGCAAGTAGACCTCTAGTCAAAAGTGAGCCGTTTCGGCTACAGAGTCATACTGATAACGAAAAATAATAAAGTTTCAAAATGACTTACTCTACGTAAAGTGAGGCTGTCATCACTCTAGGTGATAGAATGGTCAAAACTGAAAACTCATTTTTGTTCAAAAGACAATATTATAAGAAAGAGTAAACAGTGTTTTGTCTACTGGTACAAATTTATCAACAACATTGGACAGTTGATAATTTAATTTTAGTGGAAACGCAGCTATTAAGTGCTTCATATTCCTTGCAGGAAAATGGTCGAATTTACGTTTGAGGAGTATGCAGATAATATGCATCTTATTTATGACGGGGCAAGAAGCAACACTAGACAAGCTGAGCGGCTTTATGCTGAGCGATTTCCTAATCGCCGACATCCTTCCCCCCATTTAACCCCATTGGATTTTTTTCTCTAGGGTTACATCAAGTCGTTGGTGTATGAAACTCTCGTTGACAGCCAAGAGAAATTATTGGGAAGAGTGATGGCAGCATCTCTTTACGTACAGCAAGATCCGCACATCCTCCAACGGGTGCGTGATTCTATGCTTCGAAGGACCAATTTATATAACGAAGTTGGGGGTCGTCATTTTGAAACTTTATTATAATTTTTTCCTTTATCAGTAATAAAAAAATAATATGATATTGACATGTTTTACATTCAAGCAAGTCATTTTGAAATCTTATTATTTTTCGTTATCAGTATGACTCTGGAACCGAATCGACTCACTTTTGGCTAGGAGTCTCTATGCAAATGTTTTTCAACACAATGTCCCCTATAAAATCCTGAAGTTTGGCACAACCTTTTTGGAACACCCTGTATTTTATTAACACCTACCTACAACCTATAATTTAAAAATTAATGCATTTCCATATCTTCTACAAAAATGTTGAGTAGATATGTAGTATCTAAATGAAATTAATGAAATTTAGGGTCTATAATATAGTTTGTCCACGGACTACTGCCAGAAGACAAGCTCATCAAGGTTTGATTTTGGTTGTCATTCGTTTAAAAAAATCCTGCACACAAATTACTTGACCACAGATAAACATACGATGTTGCTTTATTTTTAATTTTACAAAAAAATATTATTTTAAATCTTGGTTTGCAATAAAAATATAGAAACCAGTTTCAAGTTTAACGTTTATATTAATAAATAATTAATATTTTGGAAACTAAATATTGCAAATAAAATTAAAAAAATAAATAAGGTCTCATCTCTGTAACACACACAATCTCAACTTTCTGAAATTGTTAATAACAAATTTGTATACCATTTTGTGAATTATTAGCACTACCTATTTTTCCACATTATTTTCGAAATCAAATCTATATTTATCTTTCAAATACTCCCATAACATCATATTAAAATTAAATTTGTTTCCTTTGTTCCGTCAAAAATTTTGACATGATGTTATCCTTTTCATTGAATCTCTTCCGATGTACCCATTATTCAATTTTATTTATTTTAGACAAGTGTATGAAGGTACTAAGAATGTGGAATTATAACAAAAAATAATAAAACTTAGAGACAGTAGATGAGATACAAACGAGTTATAGATAATTTCGGAAAAAACTGTGCAGTAGTAAAATTATTAATATCAAGGTCAAACTTCAAATTTGTTTTTATATTTTAATACCAAAAAAGTTCCTATTGTAACATTTTTAAATTAATAAATCCACATCGTTTTTCAACTGTTTCAAATTCTATACCGGGTGATTCAGTTTGGTATTCGCGGCCCTGTATCTCTTTTATTTTAACAAATAGCTATAACAAATATTTTGAAATCGCCGCTCAAACTCTATCAAATGACATTATTAGATCGTTTCCATGGTAACATATGTCAAAATTGCTATAGTCAACCGTTTTTGTTCAAATGGCACACTATATATTTTTTTATCAATTCTGGAAGATATTCTTTTTCTGCGTTCAGCTATATAAGGTCTATTAGTTTCATTAGACACATTGTTAGAAAAACAGCAAAAAAGATGCACACTACTTTTTGTAGCTGAAATGATAGCTAGCTGCGAAAACAAGTTACTATGTTTTTTAAAGTAACATATTTTATTTGTATTACGATAATAAGATAACAATTTAAAACAATGCTTATTTCAAATGTTCAAAATGACCTCCATTTGCTTCCAAACACAGAATAGCTCTGTTTATCACTCCCTCTCTACAAACACATTCTAGTGTTTCTTCATTTAATCTCCGAAATTCTACTCTTATTCTGTTTTTAAGGTCATCAATATCATTTAAAGGCAAAGAGTAAACTTTTTCTTCTAGGTAAGGCCAAAGAAAGAAATCTATAGGAATCAGATCCGGAGATCTATAGCAGACTATTTAACATCTTTATCGAATGTTCTTCATCTCTTACCATTCTAGGTTTAAAAACTCTTCTTTTCTTTTGAAAACCATCTGCTGCCAAATTCCTGGCTAACTTTCCGAAAATTTTATCTGATGGAAGTTGTGTCTGCGGAAAACGATGTTGGTATAAATGCCTGGCAACTTTAGTGTTCTTTCAGCACTCTCCATAAATTAAAATCATATCTAGTTTTTCTTGGTTACCATAAGTATTCATGTTATAGTAATAATTAGTTATAGATAGAATAGGTAGGTACAAAATGTCAATTATTTTGAAAAACCGTTATTTAGAAAGGTCAAAATTCAGTTGTTTCCGCAACTGGCTATCATTTTTCAGAATAAAGCTACTGAAAGTAGGGTTCATCTTTTTTGCTGTTTTTCTAGCAATTTTTCTAATGAAACTAAAGACTTCTTCATACAGCTGCAAGCAGAAAAAAATATCTTCCAGAATTGATAAAAAAAATATATAGTGTGCCATTTGAACAAAAACAGTTGCCTATAGCAATTTTAACATATGTTACCATGGAGACGATCTAACAATGTCATTTGATACAGTTTGAGCGGCGATTTAAAAATATATAGGGTTTGCTATAGCTATCTGATAAAACAAAAGAGATACGAGGCCGCGAATATCAAACTGAATCACCCGGTATACTAAAATCTAAATTTATATGCGAGAATGAGATTTTGTGAAGAATGTTTTTATAAAAAAAATCAAAAAAGGGTTTTCTTTTCTGGACAGTTATCCCTATACGCATTGTACATACGTTGGATATTTTTTTTAACTGGTACTAGGTACCTACTAAGTAATAACAACTGAAATAGTCATATGTACCTACTCATTATAGTCTGTAATTATTTATTTTTATTAGATTTTTTGGCTATTAATGTATCTACCACACTGTAAATAT